TAATTCATATTTTCATGAATTTTAGATACGTACAGCGGGTGGTTTTGCTTTTGATTGTGGTTATGTAAGAGACGAATAACAAGAGGTGAGATGAATTACCTGGTGTACATTGAGGGGTTAAATTAGACATGGCTTCCTTATTCATTTGATTACGTTTTTGGATGTAATTTTATAACATTACTGATGAGAAGATTGTGTTATCTGTGAGCGGAATATTCATTAGAAAATCATGAATGGGGGGGGAGGGGGGAATAACAGGAATAATGCATAAAAATAGCAGCAAAAAAAATTGACTGGTTTAAATTACGAGTCGATTTCATGTTTAAATGAAATACTAATTAGCTGAAATACCGTAGGTTAAAAAAAAGTTGTTTTATAATCCACTGTAATCCTCTTTGAAATCCCAAAAATCAACAATTTCCCGGGGAATTTCTTTTCACCGTCAATTAAATATGATAATCCCTGGGATTTTGTAAATATGTGCGTGTGTTTGAAAATGGAACTCACTGGGGGGTTGAGTTTAAAATTGTGCGGGGGCGAGGGGGTGAGCGGGTTCGTAGCGATTTTGCAAGCTTGCACAATTCCAGTACCTACCGCAAACTTGGTCGAGGTACCTTGCCTGCGGCACTGTTATTAAAGGGTTACCCCAACGGATGAGATCTCCAGTAAGCGCTTTTACCCAGTACCGTCAACATACAGTGAAAACCCCGGCATAATACTCCAAGGCAATTTTTGCTAAATCTTTTCTCTCATACTCCCTCCACTTATCCCTCATTCTACCTCTTTTTTTCCATTACTGGAAACGTCCGGGGAAACAAAATCTTAATGCGGAAGGAGACTTTCATTTATCCAAATTCATCTTTTTCGTATATTTTTTTTTGAGATTGATGTTTTTTTGAAAAATGTTAGAGTTGAGGCTAGGATATGTATTTCGGGTTCGACATGATTTTGTGATGCGACATGAGTTAATTTCGGGTATGAATTTATGCTGGGGTATGAATTTATGTCGCAATATGAGTTCATGCTGAGACATGATTTTATGTTGAAATGTAGAATTTAAGCTGGTACCTAAAATCATCTTGGTACGTGAATCCCTGAGACATGAATTTATGCCGGTGCATGGTGGGATATGATTTCATGTCAAAATATGAATTTCTGCTGGGGCATGAATTTATGGCGTGATATGAAATCATGCTGATACTTGATTTCATCTTGAAATAGAGAATTCATGCTGCCCACGTACGAAAAAACGAATGGGCCGAGCTTGGCCCAAGCCCGGTGGCCGGCCTGCCGAACTTCGGGACCCGTTCCTCAACCGGGACCGCGCCGGATTTGGTTGAAACCTGGAATGATAACATCGGGCCAGGTCTGGGCGCCCATCTCGGCCCAGCGTTGGTTGCCAGTCGTTGGCCAGGCTCAATTAAACATTACTTAATTACATGAATATGACAATATGGGTGATTGAAATACAAGTAATTTAATATTACTCCTCAACATTCGTAATAGGTTCAACGAGGAAAAAAAATCAATACCGGCATGTGACTGGTGCCGCACTGGCTGCCAAACTATTCATGACAATTATCAATAATAACAAAAACAAAATAATTAACACTTTTTAGGATGATTTTTAGTATTCATTGTGCCCTACCTACCAAACCCTAACGCAATCATCGC